TATCTCTGTGATGTGTTTGAAAAACAGGATTTGTTGGGGTATGCTTTGAAGTATAAAAACTACTTGGCTTTAACTCCTAGACAGTTGAGGTATAAAAATAAGTAATAGGTGTTTGTACAGTTGTACACACACAGATAGATGTAGCACACAAATGTGTAAACCTGTGAATGCACATTTTAGGGTGACAGGGAAATTAGTCTGTTTCTATAACAGAAAATGACTTGATGTAGAAGTTGACCGGAGAGAGCATGGCCTGTTTGCCGTCATCACAGCTTTGGCATCTCAGGTGTGACCATGGACAGGACCCAGTCCCAATGCAGACACCCCAAATCTACTACAGCACGTCACCACATTACATTGGGGTTTGAGTGAAACATTAGCCACGTCATATTCTTTATTGAAATATACTACTAATTTCATAAAACTCCCTAGCTGCAGGTGTTCTGAGCTATTTATCAATATTAGTGCAGAGTTTTGAAAGTTCTAAACACAAAGCATCATCAGTCATTGGAAGAGCTTTTTCTTATTTGCTTTTTGAACTTTCCATGTTATTTCAACTTTGGCTGTTTCTGTGCTTGTTTTTACGAAGGCGTTTTATGATGCCATGCAAGAGACACTAGAAAGGGATAGCTGACAAGGAAAAAATTAAAAATTGGATAAAAAGTAAATGAATAATGTCATATTACCAAAAAGATGAGAGGCTAATTTGTGCCGACTTTTTGCTAATTTTGTTCAAGCCTCAAAATGAGGAGCTGTCACCCGTTCTGTGTAGCACTGATGACAGTGCCAATGATCCATGAAATAAGCTGCCGCTGGCTTTGTTCTGATAAGAATGAACAAATCTGCACAATGTTCGGCTCCCAGAATCTCATTTTCATACTTGCATGCAGGCTAAAAGAAATAAGCTGTTTGCAGGCTTGATTAATCAGACATTGGAGGGGTTTTTGTCTCTTTGATCTCTTTCGTCTCCTAGGTAACTTGCTTGACATTAATGTTGAGCTTGAGTAAAGACAATCAGGAATTGTCGACCAAACTGATATAAAAATTAAAGACCTTAACACTTTAAGTACTCCGGTAATGGTTCCGCTTTACTTCAGAAAACATCTGTTTTCATTTAATTAAAGAACAAAAGAGAATGGCATAAATATTTTTCATAGAGACCTATTATTCCGTAAAAAGTTAAAGTATGATAATTGGTATTTTTAAATAAGTGCCTTGAAAGTGTTCAGAAGGGAAGAAAACTTCATAAATCTGTTACAAGCTAGTAATTTTGAGATGAGTAAAATATTTTATGACATGGATAAGAAGTGTACAGTTACGCTAGATTAAGCTGTTTGAATCAGATGCTTCAAATGATTACCGGCAAACTTTAGAATGGCGCAGGTTTAGCAAGAAAAACCAACTTTATTGTGAAAGTTTGTCTTTTAGAAATCTCTACTATGTTACAAGATGCGCCATTATATCTGTTTTACAACCCAATATGATTTACACATGCTAAACCTGTAAAATTGAAAGGAATTAAAAAAATGTCGCCGTGCATTTGCTTGAGGTTATGCAGACGCTTTTACAAATCTTCCAAGTGGCTGTAAAGATGAATGCCCCAAGGGTCCAGCCAGGGCCCTGCTTTTCCAACCAGCTAAAGCCCTTATCTTAAATCCAAGCAAAGTACCATTAATCTTTTTGAAAGACCTTTTATGGCTTTTAATATATCCCAAATTAGAACATTTTACACCCTTGGTTCCTGAAATATGGTGATAAAAAGCCTTTAGAGCTTAATTTTCCTTACCGCTTGCTCTGACCAATTTGCAGTTCTTTGTGATAATGTTTAGACACCTTAATTAAAATGCAGCAAAATATTGGATGTTCTATATGGAAAATGCTGATACTTTGGCTACACATACAAGAAATTCTGTATATATTTTTATTCATTTTAAACATTTTCTTTCCACATTGTGTTGCTGTAGTTATCTGATGACCCGAAACATTTTTTTTTTTTTTTTAAATATGAAAACCATTGACCAAGCTTTTGTGATGTTTACTTTGGGCATGAAGATGCATTTTTCATTTTACAGAAGTGAAAGGGAGATTCTTGTTGGCCTGTATTATTTGTAATACTGAGACATAGCACGATAATTCTTTTATCTTTGGGAACTCGGGTTAGTCATCTTGCCTGGGAAAATGAGTTTCTTCTCAACTGTCTCTTCCATAGATCTTATTATCCTTTCATATTTCCAAATATTTCTGTTCTTTGTTCTTTCTCCACAGGAATAAGTGAAACACATTTTAAGCATGTGAAGGACCCAAAATTGATCATTAATGACTTTTCATCATCATTACAAGCTAAAAGATTCTTTCTGTAAAATACATAGACCAGGCTTGTTGAATGTTTATCGGTTAAAGAACATTCCATTTAACCTAACCCAAGGCAAAATACGGTTGGAAAATATACCTTTTATACGAACAGGTCTGTTTGAAAGTATTACCTATATGTACCCAGCCATTTATTATATTTACTTAGTCCCCAGAAATGATGAAGCCCTCTCGTGTAAATATGTGTTTTATATGTTTTAATGAATTATTTTTAATAAATTTATACTATGTCTTATGGAACGTATGCTCTAAATCCTTACTCTGATGTTGATTTTGCTGGCCTGGCCTTAACGTTGCCAGAAAATAAAAGCTTTTACTTTCTTAGGGTATGTGACCATGTTGAGATGATGAGTCCCATTTAAATCAAACACATTGAGGTACTCTTTGGCTTATCGATCCCCAATCCAGAAAACCCATGTTGGGAAATTTCAATAAGTTAAAAATGTAAGCTACCTCTTAATTTACAACAGTTTTAGAAAATAATTTTTCACATGCTTAATGGTACATGGCAGATACGGTTCAGACCATTTTTCTTTTATCCTCCGAGTATAGGCTCAATTTAAATATAAGATAAACTCGCCAAATGGGACTTTTGTTGGGAGGTAGACTTGGCAAAACTATATCATATATCAAATTCGCATTTGATACATAATACATGGGAATATAGCTAAATAGAAAAACACAGAGTTCTACACTTTACCTTTTGGAGGGTAAGGGCCAGGGAAGATGCTAAATACTCTACAGGAATGTGGAGAGACATGGCATACATCTTAACACAGGTAGCAAGGTGGGTTTTATGACAGTGGACAGTTTATTAGGTGCATCTGCCACTCCTCTGGGGAGCCCACAGCACCCCATGTTCCCAGCCGCCTTGCTCTAGGCGGAACTGTATAAATAGCCGTGACCAGAGGACTGCGGGCAGAAATGATGTGTGTCACTTCTGGACTAAAGCGTTGAAGAGCCGTTGTGAGACCCTCCAGCCTTCGCTTCCTCTGCTGCAGCAGACTTGAAAGTCACATGTTGAGATGCCGGTGCCACAAGATGGAGGCGAGCCCAGCCAGGCCACGGCGGAGTAGAAGTGAAACAAGAAATAAAAGTTCAGCCAGTGGGATTTGGGAATTTGTTTGGGAGGTGCGGTTTTGGCTAGCCTAACCTGACAGGCGCTGATCTGATTTTGTTGTTTATGACAAATGGATAGTTTTTCCGTGGAATCCATCTTAATGATAGATTAGCCACAGTGTCTTTCTGGTTGCATTTTCTCCTTAGGTGGTGACGCTCCAGCCCTTTGATTCTTACCCTTTTCTTAGTTGACTTATCTGAACTTTTATTTTTATTTATTTATTTATTTAAAGATTTTATTTATTTATTCATGAGAGAGAGAGAGAAGCAGGCTCCTAAGGAGCAGGGAGCCCGATGTGGGGCTCGATCCCAGGACCCTGGGATCATGACCTGAGCCGAAGGCAGACGCTTAACCATCTGAGCCACCCAGGCGCCCCTGAACTTTTCTATGATGAAGAACTGGAAACAAAAAGACAGCCAACCAAAGGAAGGAGGCCAGGACTGAAACAGTCAAACAGTTAGTGTCACTAGCAGCCCCTTCTGCCTAGCCCCCGATGTGAAAATCAGCTTGGTTTTGTTCAGTGCTGTACTTCTAGCGCCCCGAACAGTGCCTGGCCAGACAGTGCCTTTGTGCCCTCATGGTATTTGCTGAGTGAATGTTGTCCTGTGAAAAAAGATGATGAAGGTAGTGGTGCTGGTCCTATTGGTGTGAATTTTGGGACTCTGAGGTCAGTCTGCGTTCTCAAGGGCACTCCTCAGTTACAATGGAGCCCTCTTTCGTCAGTGGCTTTCCTATCGGTGTTGACCCGTTCAGCATTCCGGTTTGATTGTTGGGTTGCTTCCATTCTTTATGTATATTCTTACCTGGACTGGAAAATGAAATTGGTGTGTGCTGTCCTTCATAAACCCCAAGCAGTGCTTGATTCCTACTTGTTTGTTTCATCCTAAAGGAAACTGTTCTCCAGAATAAGCTGAAAGAAATGTCAAGCATGTCAGACCTCACTTTCCTAAATAGGCTTCTCATACATGTGCTCTTAACCTGCCCACGATGCCTCACTGTTGGCCAGCAGGTCCCTAAAACTCGGGCTTTACCACATTGATCTGACAGTGACTTTCAGCTTCTTTCTTCTCTTCCATGTCTGTTGTCCACTCATGTGCATTAGGGTGAGTCCAGGGATAGAAAGGGAAAGGAACACCAGAAGGAGATTTTTAGCCTTTGTTGTCCAACCTGGGTTCATAACAGATATTTTTGAGCTATCCATATGGGCAGGTATTTTGAAAATCAGAGCCTCTAAAACTAGAAGATCCCCCTGCTTGTCCTGGAGACACTTGCTGAGGAAGTTTGGCTGCCAGAGAGCTGTGTAGAGCAGAGTGTGCAAACTGTAGGTTATGGCAGAGAGGCTGAAGGGCTGGAGAAGTATAGAAACAAGGACTGTTTTAGGTTAACTTAGAGAAGACTTCGGGTGGGGGTGGGGGGTGGGTAGGAGGCTTTGTTTTGATCAGACCTTACAAGACTGGGGCAGATGGATGTCAGGCTGAGCAGGAACAGAGGGGCCCACAGAGGGAACACAGGTACTGTGGTCCTCGTGCCCAGCCTTTTCGCTTCTTAGCACCCCCTATATTCTGTTTTCTATCAGTGAATTAAAAGCTGTTGCCCATCATACGAAGTGCGTTTATGAAGCAGTAATTAGCTTTCCCATGTTTTATTAATCACATCTATGACTGCCAATCAGAGCTTCTGATCAGCATGAGATAACTGATGTGACCATACTGAGTTGCTATAATTCTAGCCCAAAGCAAAGAAACTTGATGTCTCTGTCAGTCTGCGCAGCCTTATCAGGGGTAAATTCCTGTTTGGCCTACTGAAATGCTGGAATAGCTAGAAGATCTTCATCATATCCTTGTGGACCCTCAAGGGCCCTTGGTTTGGGAAGGATTTCCATCCAGGAGGCTGGTACAACCAGGGTATAGGGTCTGTGGGAGGTAAGGGAAATATGGGCCGCATCTGTGCATTTGTTTACTTTGCTTCTTCAAGGGGGCCTGAGCATAAGAATTTCTAATTTGTAGCTACGGCTTTCATGCCCTCAAGTTCTCAAGTATTTGTATGACTGTAATTCTTGTATTAGCTGGAATATTTCTTTTCACTTTTTGTTTGTTTGTTTTTCTCCTTTGTAATTCATAGCTTGGTGTAAAAATTGCCAAGGCGGTTGCCTGCCACAACTTTGTAAAAGCCAAAAAGGACGCTGAAAATTCACAGGTTGCCCGAAAAAAGAAGAAACTTGCATGGGGGTAAGTTTGGAGACGAAAAGGACACTGAAAATTCACAGATTTCCCGTAAAAAGAAGAAACTTGCATGGGGGTAATTCTAGGAACTTCATAGGGATTACAGAACTCCTGGAATACATCATATGAATCCAGTTTGTGTGTGATTGTTACTCATTTTATTCTTTGTGTCTTTGCTGCATGTTTGTCATATTATAAATATTGGAGGCATTTCTTCATCCTTTTTGATATTTATTTTGTCATCGATGGAGTATGTGAAAATGTTTTAAGTTTATTTTACTGTGGCACTTTTAGTAAGCATGTTTAGGAAAGTATTTCAAAATAAATTGAGATTTCTATGTTCTTTATTTTAGGTTTGAAGCAAAGAAGAGATGGGAAACCAAGAGCAACATGGGATATATGTAACTTGCCATAGTTCCTCAAGACACTTGAGTCTTGACTTGGGTTTTTGCTTGAGTCTTCAACTGCTCAATTTACTGAAAAGATTTACCTGCTTATGTTAACTATGTCAGGAAACTGATAGATCGGAAAAATAAGCATAAAATTTGGGAGTTGATTATTAAATCTTTTCAGTCTTTTTCTAAAGAGTTCATTCTATTGAAGTGAATGAGATGGAGCATTCTGTTATTTGTACAAGAACTCTAGGCATACATAGGAAAAAAGATAGGACTTTATTTGTTTATTTACTTATTTATTGAATCCTCCAGTATAAAATCAATTTTACTTTTCATCCATTTGGTGTAGCATAGCCAGTGAGTTCCTTGTTCTTTCTTACCTGTACCCAGTGTAACTGCACTTATTCTGGAATCGTGTTTTTAAGATTGGCATTTGTTTATAATGGATTAGTCTTAACTGCAAGAAAGTTTCGATACTGTCTTTACAAGTGACTTTAATTATCTTTTTTTTTTTTTAAAGATTTTATTTATTTATTTGAGAGAGAGAGAATGAGAGACAGAGAGCATGAGAGGGAGGAGGGTCAGAGGGAGAAGCAGACTCCCTGCCGAGCAGGGAGCCCAATGCGGGACTCGATCCCGGGACTCCAGGATCATGACCTGAGCCGAAGGCAGTCGCTTAACCAACTGAGCCACCCAGGCGCCCCACTTCCTTTTTCTTTCTTTCTTTTTTTTTTTTTTTAAAGATTTTTATTTATTAGAGAGAGAGAGAACGTGACCTGGAGGAAGAGCAGAGGGAGAGGGAGCGAGATCACAAGCAGACTCCCCGCTGAGCACAGAGCCTGATGCGGGGCTTGATCCTAGGACCCTGAGATTATGACCTGAGCCTAAATCAAGAGTCAGATGCTTAACTGACTGAGCCACCTAGGTGCCCCTCCCCATTACTTCTTAAAAGATTGAATGAATTAATGAGGATAAGGTGGATTGGTGCCACAGGAAGTAGTTTTCATTAGATGTGTGTTTCATAGACCTAACTAGAAGTGGCTTTGAGAAATCATATAAGAAGCTGGCAAATAAGACTGGATGTTTGGTGGTTTGACATCTGCCTGCACAGTGCTTAGCAGAGGTGAAGAGCTGCTTATCGCTGCTTTCATCAGTTCACCTCCCTTCCTCAGCCTTCGTCAGAGGTTTGCTAGCTTGCTGGTATAAACTTTCTCTGGGTTGATAATATAAATTCAGGAACATTAGAAAATGAGCCATGATTATTATTTGATTATTGTTTTATTATTATTTTGTTATTTTTAGACTTAAAATTTTAACAAAATTTTACTAATTTATGGTAGCATATTTAATGTTTTTCCTCTGTTCTGGAATAAGTAAATAACTAGTTGCTATTTAAGAGAACAAAAATAATATCTTGCTTCCACTTAGGTGAGAAGAGCCAGTATAGAAAAAGCAAGATTTTAGGAGATTGGGTATCTACTTAGAGAATTCATCATAAAAAGGTGTCCAGACCAAATATTGGAAAATCTTATATTTTATGATTTAATATCCCCTGTTGTGTTTCCCTACAACATTTCATTTCAGACTCCTAGTAGGGGAATACAAACTTACTGAATAGAAACCTTTTCCCTAGAAAATCCACCATGGGAGAAGTATCCACTGCACAATCCGGTGGTTTTGTCTGAAGCATTAAACATGTTGTCGTGGCGCAGGTGGGTAGTGTAGGTATTCTCACGCACAGGGCCCGCAGATGGACATCTCCCTGCAATCTACGTCTCGTTTTCTTTCTTTTCCCGTATCTACTTCCTTCGAGCACTTAGTGACCCCTGCAGGCAATGCTTCGCCTCTCTGCTCATGCTGAGGCCTTGCCAGAGTGGCCTCTTGAGGGGCTGATTTGGGAGCCCGTGACCCGAAGTGCAGCCGTAGAAGCCCTTCTTCAGCCTGTCCGGTGCTGGTGGTCATGCTGCCCTCCTCGGGGCTCTGACACAGATGGGAGCATTTTAAGCCTGTGGTGGGCATTACGGTGGGATCGAGTGTAGCAGCGGACTCATTGGATGAGGGGGGCTGCATCTCCTAAGTCTTCATTTCTGGGGGGCCTGGGTTGTGAAAAGCTCCAAAATATGGTACAGCAGGAAAGGGGGGGCGAGGGAGGGGACTGGGGGAGAGGAAGGGACTGGTTGTCTGCGATGAACCCGGCTGGCATGTCGTTGCGACCGGATTTATTTTACCAGCTTTAATTTGAAGTAGACATTTTGCTCAGTAAAGCAATAAAATGGGAACATTATTCTTAGAGCACCCATGTTGCCCAAAAAGTGTAGTCATTTGTCTTCTCCATCTGCTCACAGCAAAATGAGGATTCTTTTTGGAACAGTAATAACTTCAGTTCCTGAAGCTTCGGCATGTGCATTTACTACTGCTCAAATGCCTGAATTAGACGAGGGATGTAAATGTCAGTTATTGTTAACTGAGATTAATACGTTTCAGGCCATCATTGTGGCATTAATGTAACTGTGAGTTACTGTTTCAGTACTTCAGGCTAAAACAACTTACTAAGGACAGTAATTTTGAGCTTTATAGCACTGGTTCTGAGAAGGAAGGTTGGTAGTGCGTTCTTGTTGGGAGCCCTCAGGATGTTTCTGATTTTCAGCAGAACATTCTATTTCTTTCACCAAAAGGAGAGTTTGAATGTATAATCTCAGGTTTGCTATAATTAGTTCTGATGACAGAGTTAAATACCTTGGCCAAAACTATATAAATCAGTAGTTAAACAGGTTTCTGCAACTGATCATAAATCTCAAACTCCATATGTTAAGCACATTTATTTTTTTAGAGAGACAGCTAAGGGAGGGGCAGGCCAAGGATGGGAATAAAATGTTATCTGAACTTTGAGTAACAGCCTGGAACCTCATATTTAAAATTTACTGATTTCCTTGCTACCTTTGGTCTAAAATGTTCCTTTTCAGTATTTTAATAACCTCGCTTATTGTTTAAGCCAAGTTTGAATTTAATTCTTTTTTTTTTTTTTTTAAGATTTTATTTATTTGACAGAGAGAGAGCACAAATAGGCAGAGAGGCAGGCAGAGGGAGAGGGAGAAGCAGGCTTTCTGCTGAGCAGGGAGCCCGACGTGGGGCTCGATCCCAGGACCCTGGGACCATGACCTGAGCCGAAGGCAGCCGCTTAACCGACTGAGCCACCCAGGCACCTTGAATTTAATTGTTAAACTATCAAGTTTAATTTCCAAAATGTCCAAATTTCTATTTGCTAGGTAAAGATACCTCTTTTTTGGAAATGTTTTGTCCTGCTACACTATAAAAAAAATATTTTATGAGGTCGATATTTAAATAAGATGCCAATTGCGTGTGTTTTTTTATGAGATAAGGTTTTGGGGAAGCAAGGTAATGTTATGTCAGACTGCATTTTGGAAAATTAACTTAGTGTGAAACCCAGTAGTCAAATTCAGAACCAACTGAAACAATTCAAGTTTTTCCATGTTGGCAGAAGTCGCTTTTATTTTTAGTGTCTGGCAGAGCAACAAATGCTTTGCATGTCAATTTAGTATTTTTTCGAGCCAACTGTTTATTCATTGGCTTTAAATTTACACTCTACTAAAGTCTTAGTCCTGACTTTCATGAAACAAATAGTAATATTTGGACAAAATATGTACACGGAAATCTTTTTCCAAAACCAAATGTAGATTGGTATTCGTGGCATCAGTGCCTTTTAACATGGTAATGGATCTAAAAGTACTTTGAAAGTCTAAGGCATTTAGAAACCCAAGGCAATGCATTTCAAGGAATTAATTTTTATTATGAAGTAATCAGCATCTTTCTAGGTTTTCAGATTTAAATTAGTGAGAGACTTTCTGCTAGGAGGTGGAATATATGTTAGAGTAAATTTCAATGAACTATCAAAAGATTATTTTATCAGCGTGTATCTATGCATGACCTCTGTAGCCTACTGAGACAATAAGACCCATTTTCCATTTTGAGGTTGGGATGCTCTCTATAGATTTTGATAAAATGAGCAGAACTGCCTTCTTTAGTCTTTATAATTTTATCCCTCTTCCACACTGCTCACCTTGAAACACACACACACACACACACACACACACACACACTCTCTCAATGTTGGAGCTGTCATCAACCCCGAGACTTAGTGGGGAGGTGGTTTGTGACTGCAGTCAAGAACATGGTGGTATGTAGCCGATCAAGATGGCCATGAAGAGACTGAGAAAGGAGCCTCCAAACCATTGTGCTCTAATGTTAAAATGAAGTGTGTTGTTTCTTCAGCGGTATCTCCTTCTACTCACTTGTGAGTATTCCAGATTCACTTCGCTAGAATTTCTTCAGATACAGGGGTGCCATCAGAATAGCTTCCTGTAGCACTGGCTTTTGTGATCTTGATCCCCAGAACACAAGTACAGGCTTTTCTGAGGTGGCAGGGCCAGCGGGCGGGGCCCTCTCCATTAAATGCCGTGCAGTATGCTGTGTTTTTAGATGGGCTTGTAAAATCAAGAATTAGCTAAGGGATACTTCTTTTTTTATTAGTATTAGTAACAAAGTTTAGATTTAAGTAGAGAAGGTATAAAGATATTCCTAGTGAGATGGCATTTTAAAAAAATATTTTATTTTATTAGAGAGAGAGGGAACAAGCAGGGGGAGCAGCAGAGGGAGAGGGAGAAGCAGCGCCCCCCCCCGTCCCCCGCTGAGCAAGGAGCCCGACGCGGGGCTCGATCCCAGGACCCCGGGAATATGACCTGAGCCGAACCGACTGAACCACCCAGGTGCCCTGTGAGATGGCATTTTTAAAACATCGAATTTGGGTACCTGCCTTTTATGTCCAGAACAAGTTTCTTAAGGAGGCACAGAATAAAAGGGAATGGAAGGAGAGAAGAGGGTAGTGCCCAAGAGAAGCCTTAGCTCCTGGGTGCTCCTCTGCCAGGTTTCCGATTGTGCCTATTCCCTGGCATTGTTCTAGAAGCCCCGGCCCTTACCTCCTCTGGGGCCCATGGAACGTCTCTTGCTGAATTGCTGCTGGGGGCCTGCCATGTGACAGGTATGGAATGAGGTCATCTTTTCCCACCTCTAATTTCTGAAGGGTGTGTCTGTCCAGTTATTACTTGTTCATTGAACTTAAAGGTTTAGAAACCAACAGCTATAGTACAAGCTGTAATTATTGATGTCTGTTTCAT